AAGCCAGCTACAACCTCTGGTCTCAAAAATAAGTTAACCTTATTGAGATTCAATGAACCTCATACCGAAGGTTAATTCGATAAGAACGATTAATTGGTACACATACATTGTGACAAAGATAATGTTTGCGAACAAAAATAAAACGAGAGAGTTGATAGAGATTCCAGGAGTTACGAAATCGTACTTTAATAAGACTTGATTACATTACTGACAAGATGCGGGAGGGCATGAATGGTTGCTAGTTTTCGCGCCGTATAAGGTATAGGGTTGACTGTACAATGTTTAGGTCTTTTATGTTTTTCTTCATGTCTATTGGGCATATGTAGATTTATTCAAGAGATAGGCAGAGGTGGGGACACAACTTTGGGTAGGCAACATACTGCTTATCGTGAGAAAGGTTTCTGTGTGTACTCTCGAGGGTGCGTGCAGTTGCTCATTAGGACGTCGTCTTTTAGTTGGCCTCTGTGTTTCCGCTCCGTATTCCTTGCGGGTTTTTATCGGGGTACTGTCTGCGTCCCGTGACGTGTTCTACATAGATGTCGCGTGCCCATCTGATAACATCAGATACAATGAGCTTCTCCATGAGCTTGTTGTATTCATGATTGTCTCCTAGGGATTTGAGCGCGCCTCCGTTTAGTGGGTCCATGGTGCCCAGTGCTCCTACCACGTAGGCTTCGACTGAGGTGTTGTATCCTTTTCGCTCGAATGCTTCTTTGATCGGAGCGTATTTGGTTTCTTTGTCGGCTCTCGCTTTCCATAGCGCTAGACTTCTGTTCTCGTAACTGACAACTACGTCGACTATCGCGCATGTCTTGTTTCTGTCGTCGATCAGGATGATGTCTAGTCTGAGCGTCGATATTCCCGTGATGGGTTGGTTTATGAGCAGCCTGTGTTCTGGTGGTTTTCTGGCCGCGTTGATGAGACGTTCTACTATTTCATTGTGTCGTCTGATGATTGCAGCGGAGTGGGCGTTGCATCTGCTCAGGATGTGAGCTGCTGTTTCAGAAGCGTAGCCGCATCTTCTGCACCTACGGTCTCCTTCTTATTGTCTTCTGCATCCGTTCAGTTGTAGCACATTCAGTCTCGCCTTGTGAATGAATCTCCAGTCTGCAAATCGGATGAAATCACCTCTACTGAGGTAATGGTTAGAGGAGTTCCTTATCATGGAGACGTCAAAAATTCTCCCTTGATCTGGTTTGTCTCTGAGGTTTTTCATCTCGTGGGCTGCAATTGCTCCGCGTAGTGTCCTTTTGGTTTTGTTGGGTTTGATGTGGTTCCCATTCTGTGTTATGCCCAGTGCTCCATCGTTGTTGATTTTCCAGTTTACGAGGAGTTTGGTTCTAAGTCTGCGGGTAGCGATTCTCAGCTTTGTCCAGTTGGATGACACGTCTGATGAGTTACAATCAAATATGCCATCCGTCTTTCCGTCGAAGTATTCAGTTATTTCCAAATTACTTGGGTTCTTCTTGAGCCTACGTTTAACTGCTTTAATTGCGTCCGTGTACGCAATGTTTTGAACTAGTTTGTCTTCTGAATTTAGGACCGTTTGTGCATATGCAATCTTGCATGTGTTGCTCAGGTCATTGAGTTTAGAGAATCCAAGCCCACCATGTGAGGTTGGGATGTACAAAACTTCTGGGCTAGCTCTCTGTGGGAGGTGTAGCCATTTCTTCCCATATTGTTGGAGTTTCCTGTCGAATTCTGACAGTCCTTCTTTCCGCACTTGTCCGTTTGTCAGATGAAAGTCGAGACACGGCAATAGGAAGGTACGGACCGCATCGGCTTTCTGCCAGTCAGCTAGTAGTGATTGATGTATTAGTTCAGGCTCGTCTTTCATTTTGGCTATGGTTTCTCTGCCGATGGTTGGAGGTGCATACCTGTTGGTGTACCCAGGTGGGTGTAGGTATCGAATTTGTCTAGAACTGGCATTGTCGAGTTGTGTAGTTTGAAGGTTGTTTTCCTGATCTTGCCTTTTATTATGGAGAGGGACGCGCACTTGGATGGTTTGAAGAGTAGTCCTAATGCTTTCGCCAGTTTGTCAGCTGTTTCGAGTGATTTCTGTAGTTCTTCTTCGGTGTTGGTTAGTATGACCAGATCGTCTGCGTATGCTAGCACACTAATGCTTTCTTCGTCTATTTTGTATCCTGGGTTGTTAGTTTAGATAGCTCTGATAAGTGGTTCAAGGGATAGGTTGAAAAGTGTTGGGGATATTGGCGAGCCTTGGAGGACGCCTGCCTCGACTGCAATATTTTCTGTTTCCTTGTCTGCGGTTGTAATTCGTGTTGCCGCATGGGTGTACAGTTGGTTTATTCTGCCAATCGATTTATTTCCTAGTCCATTCCATTCTAGGGCGTCTTTCATCGACTCGTGTTATAGTGACCCGAACGCGTTGGCTAGGTCTAACCATGCTACATGTACTGATTTTCTCTCCCTTTTTGCGTCTGCAATGGCAGATTGTAGGAGGAAATTGTGTTCTGTGCAGCCTGGGATTGAGGTGAAGCCTTTTTGGGCGGCTGAGATTCGTTTCTCGGCCTTTGCCCATCTATTAAGTCTTGCTGTGAGACACGCTGTATAGAGTTTCCCTATGTTGTTGCTAAGTGCGATTGGTCTCCAGTTGGTAATGTCATGTTTGTCCCCTTTCTTATATATCAGTATTGTTTTGGAAGTCTTCCATGCTTTAGGGATGTAGTTTAGTCTGTGTACCGCATTGAAGATGTGGGCTATTTTTTGCCCTCTCTTGTCCCATTTTTTCTAATGTGAGTAGCGTAGTTTATCGTCTCCTGGTGCAGTGTCGCTGCACTTCTTCAGACTTTTCATGACTTCAGCCGGTGTGAAGGTACCTTCCTAGGGTTCCGACTCATGGGGGGTGTTCGGGCGTGGACCGAAGTTTCCATGTTGGGTTGAGTGGTTGGTCGGGAGGCTGTGTATTCGGTGAAAGAATTCTTGCACCCTGTTGATGGAGATGGTGCATACATTTGAGGGTTTGTTGAGTATTCTTCTGTACGCTTTCCTTTTTTCCGCTCTCCATAGCTTCTGTAGCTTCATCGACTAGTTGATCATCTCCTCCTTTGTCATTGGTCCGAATTGACTTGGTCGGTCGCTTCTTGCGACTCTTCTAGCCGGTTGTCCGGCTGGGAGTGTAGCTTGGATTGACACGGTTATCTCCCTCAGGATCAGTTCTAAGTTTTCCACTGTATTAATTACTTCTAAGTCTTTGTCCATTGTATTGTCCTCGTGGACTATTGGGCCTTTCTGAGTTGGTTCCGTACATAAAGGGCGCCGGGTGCGTTGCGCCGTATCCACTATTGGTTGGTCCGAGACTTCGACCGGCCCTTCTGGGCTAGCTCTCTGTGAGAGCTGTAGCCATTATTTCCCGTATTGTTGAAGTTTTCTGTCGATTTCCGAGAGCCCTTGTTTCCGTACTTGTCCGTTCGTTAGGTGAAAATCGAGACAGGGCAAAAGGAAGGTACGGACGGCGTCGGCATTCTGACAGTCAGCTAGTAGTGATCGATGGATTAGGTCTAGTTCGTCTTTCATTTTGACTGTAGTTTCTTCCGCCGATGGTTGGAGGTGCATGCCGGTGGGTGTGCCTAGGTGATTGTAGGCATCAAACTTCTTACTATATCACAAACTTCTTACTATATCCCCTAAGGGAAGGGCCGTTCCTGCCTGTAGTGCAATAGCGGGTCGACCCATGAAGTAGTGCTAGCAAGCCAGCTACAACCTCTGGTCTCAAAAATAAGTTAACCTTATTGAGATTC